CTTCATGCTGGCCATCATCGTGCATCTCATTCGCCAGGAACAAGTCACACCACAGCTCTCAGAGAAGCTGCAGCCTCAAGTCCGCTGCATGCAACTGCAACAGCTCGTCAGCTCCCTGCAGCAACAATACCAATCGGCCCAGCAGCAGCTCAAGGCCACAAAGGCCGAGAACGAAATGCTCGCTGACCGCAACCGCGCCCTTGAATTCCAGCTCAAGTCCTACGAGCAGATGTTCCGCTCCCCAAAGACCGAAACCACCAGCCCCGGTCCCGTCCTCGAGTTCCCCGAGCACAAGCGTCAAAAGAGAAGTGCCGGCCTCCCTGGCCTGCGCGTTTTCTGCGATAAGATCGCCGCCAACCTCGAGCAGCCTTCATCCGCTGGTTCCTTCCACGAATCCCTTCCCAGTTCGACCTCCCAGTCCTTTGGTAGCTCCTACCTCAGTTCCACTCCTCCCATGACTGGGCCTTCTTCTCCTGCTTTCCCCCCTGCTCATGTCTCCTCTTTCACGTTCCCGAGCGTGCCTCGTCGCCAGTCTCTGCTTGCATCCCCTTGAACTGCCCCGCCGAGATTGATGATCTGATGATTCTATGATGAGCCTCTCCTCTTGGCTTTCTCTGCCATTTCTGCAGCCTGTGTCCCTTGCAGTCTATTCCTGCTCTATGTGCTTTAGCGCCTGCATTGTATAACAATTTGTGACCGGGGGTGAACAAGAACTCCCGTTGGATATTTTCCCTTTGTTTTTACATCTCGGTGGATTCTTCTTCAATGTTTTGGTTTCTTTTTTTTCCCTTCTCCTTCTTCTTTTCTTGGACAAAATGGGTGCCTCTTCTCTTCTTTATTATTTTTCTTTTTGTCTCTTTGGCGTTGAGTGTGGACATAAATGACCCGGTGTATATACCTCGAGCTTTCCTGTTTCTTTTTTTTCCTTGTTTCTTTTGTCACTTTTTATCTTATGTCTATGGCCATGACCAAATACATCTTTGATGATAATATCAGCATCTCCTTTGTAGGACCTGTGTAATTTCTTTCTTGAACTCGATCGGACTTTTAGTGTCTTGGACTCGATGGATGCAAGCTGAGCTTGGCTGGATAACCGAAGCGTAAACCAAGGAGTAAGCGATTATTCATTCCTATGCAATTTTGTAGTTCAAGTACATTACTCGGTGCGTTTGTCATAATGGTTCTATGGTATAAGTTGAAGTTGGTTCAATTTGACTAGTTACGATATCATCGATATATATCCTGGAAACACAGGTAAAGGCTCTTACATAGTGGTCCGAGAATACAGAGAATCATATAGGGTTGGCCATACTGTGTCTATTCCCTTGAGTAAATATACGAGCAATTCCTAAGCAAATCCACTCAACACCCCACGACCAAAAAAAAGCCATACTGCAAATATTGCAGCCTTGTAAAAGTTGACGAATCAGCGCCTCACTAAAGGATGATCGGTGGAGACGGCAAGTCTAAGCCTTGTGTTAGGACAAGTGTCCCCACGTTCATTTTAGTGATTTTAGTGATTTTCGTCATTTTTTGTACTGGATTGCAGGCAGTAGCATTGACTTGAGTGTGTGTCTATGGCACGTTTTAGAGCTCCTACCATATTCCAGTCCAGGGGACTAGAGTCGAGGCTGGGGTTCACTTCAATCTCGTAGACTCCACTATGTTTTGTGATTGTTTGAGCTCGACTCCATACCTGGATGTGTACTAACTTATTCGCTTAGAGGGGAATTTCGAAAATACGAGATTTCAAAATTGCAGACTATGTTAGTCGAAGAAATAACGTAGGTTGCGTTGTGTCAAGTACTATATGCAGTATTCATGCACTGCCGTGGACGTGTCGTGTACACGCAATCCCTGCAGAAAGAACATATAGGGGTAACAGTCATGAGATGTTTACGGTACCTGCGTTGACATGAAATCTTCTGGATATAAAGATTGGCCTCTGTTTGCTACAATGCCATCGCACACCAAATCTAAGCATCCAGACTCTAGTCGATCATGGGCTATAAATAAAGATCCAAAAGGGTCTCTGCTGTCAGATCTCGACGGCCACACCCCTGGCCACAATGTCATGAAATAGGTACTAGGTGATGAGTAGTAGACAGTAGCATAATCACGACATAAGAACAGACCAAAAAAAAGGCCTTGAAACAATTTCTCCAACTAGAAAATGGGGTTGTCGTGTTGCTGATTTTAGCCGTTCCGCTTGGCACTTGCATTTCCCCCGGCGATCCCGTCTCTCCTCTTTTTCCTCCCTATCAACTCCCCATCTCGCCTCCCAACCTCTCCTATTCGCCACATTCGTTCGGTCGGGGGGTTTTCGACGAGATATCGAGACCCCGGATCGCCTTGTTCTCTGACTCTTTACGCGCCGAAATGTTGTTGCCCAAGGGTGGTGTTAATTGGAAGTCCGCGAAGGCCAGGTTGCCGCCATGGAGGGCAATCGTCGTCTTATTAACGCGGACTCGCTTTTTGGTCTCGATAGCCTTGACCGGATTGCTGATTCTCATGTGGCGCGGCGTGAGCAGGTCTGCGTCGGAAATGCAAAAGTGAGAAAACCTCCCCTCTCCCCCGGGAGCAAACCCAGAAGTACCGTAAGAATGGAATGCTGATGCGAGTGTCTGTAGCTTCTACTGCTACGGCTCATCAAAGTCACCGATGGAGATGTCTCTCAACGAGATGGTTGCGTGGAATGCGCACGCCCAAACCCCCGTTCTCTTCAACCGCCACGAACCCTACGAAGTCAACAACACCTCCATCGCCGAAGTCGACCTGAACCCCATCAAGTCGACCACCCAAGCATCGCTCAACCGTGAGCGTGTCCTCATCCTGACTCCTCTCCGCGACGCCGCTCCCTACCTGGCCCAGTACTTCAATCTCCTGTATAAGCTAACTTACCCCCACGAATTGATCGATCTTGCTTTCCTTGTCGGTGACTGTAAAGACGATACCCTGGCCAACCTCGCCTCCGAACTCGACCGCATCCAGAACCACGCTGATGAGAAGGTTCGCTTCCGCAGTGCGACTGTGATCAGGAAGGATTTCGGTGCCGATGTTGAGATGTCTGTAGCCGAGCGTCATTCATTTGCTGCCCAGGGACCGCGACGCAAGGCCATTGGCCGTGCCCGCAACTACCTCCTCTACTCAGCACTGAAGCCCGATCACTCCTGGGTGTACTGGCGTGATGTGGATATCACGGACTGCCCAGAGCGCATCCTAGAGGACTTCATGGCCCACGACAAGGACATCCTTGTGCCGAGTATGTCGTGACATTGGAATTTTGAGTTGGGCAATTCGCTGACAAGATCTTTAGACATTTGGTTCCACCGCTACAGAGATGGTGTTGATATTGAGGGTCGCTGTATGTTCTTTGTGTATAATCTGTATACGGCACAGCTTGCTGACATTTACCTTTCCTAGTCGACTACAACTCCTGGATCGAATCTGACCGTGGTCGCCGCCTTCGTGCAACTCTGCCTGCCGACACCGTCCTGGCCGAAGGCTACAAGGAGTACGACACCGGCCGTACCTACCTGGTCAGCATGGGTGACTGGCGCAATAACAAGGACGAGGAGGTAGAGCTTGACGGAATTGGTGGTGTGAACATCCTCGTCAAGGCCGATGTCCACCGTTCAGGTATCAACTTCCCCGCATACGCATTCGAGAACCAAGCCGAGACCGAAGGCTTCGCCCGCATGGCCAAGCGCGCCGGCTACCAAGTGATTGGACTGCCCAACTACGTGGTCTGGCACATTGACACTGACGAGAAGCCCGGCAACCTCGGAGAGCGCAAGGCGTTTTAGAGCCGCTCAAAACCTGGCTGGAAATCTCGCCGCTTGAGATTCAAGTTGATCTTTGAATCGCCCCGTCCCCGAACATCCATCAGCTTCCACTTCCGCCGTGCACCTGACTCTGACCATCGGGGCTCGCTTCGGCTTTCACTTCCTTTCCCTTGTGATCCATTTTTTTTTTTTTTTTTTCTTTCTGGACGGATGTATCGCGACGGAAGCCTAATGATTTCCCTAATCCTGTATCTTGCCGCGTTCTAGGGAGTGTGTGTGTATTTGTTACCTTGGCGCTACGGGGGAAAATGCTGTTTGGCGGGTTGCAGGTCTATAGAGTTCGCTTCTCATGGCCTCTGACATAAACATATCGTGCACCTGAGGCCACATACCCCTTCTTATACAGTATGGATTGGGTGGTGGCCTCGGGGCATATTCACTGTTCACTATTCACTGTTCACTCGAGTTTGATGTTCCATCTCGATCTTCCTGTTCTTTTTGCAAACCAACTAGGGCCCGAGAACCGGGTCATTACTGTCATGTCATGTCTGTTTTTTCCTTGCCAAGTTTCTTCTTTCGGTCTGGTAAGCAGATTTCCAAATTGCTTATTTCTTCCATTTTGTTACACCCAAGCTGGCGTCCTTGGTTTTCTTTTCTGGTGATAGGAATGGCACTAGGCCTAGTATTGCTTTGCATTGTTGTCTGGAAATTATCATGAGCTTGATTCTGTTCTCTAACAGATGAAGCAGAGCAGATATTCAGCGCCCTTGGCCTCCTCTCGTTCTTGTATATAATAACCTGTATGATTTTTGACCATGCTTTCATACCTGAAGCCAGCCGTCATAAAGACCATACCACCAAACCCAACACCAAAAAAGAATCCAGTCTATTTATGCCCATCGACCCCATACATCAAACCTCGGCCGAGCCCCCAAAACTTCCCCCAACCCTCACCTCCGCATTCCAAACCCTCCCCGAAACCCCCCCAAGCCTCGCAACCCTTCTAAAACCCATCAAACAACACCTCCAACACCAAAAACAGACCCAATGCCACCTCGTCTCCCCCAAACCCTCACACGCGTAGTCCCCGCTTTCCCCCACGCTCGGCAAGCCCGCGTCCCACCATTCCCTTCCACCTCGCCTTCCACCTTCGGACATCAACTTCGCCAACCACTCCCCCCACCAACCCTCCAATCCAACCTCCAACTCCGCAACATGTCTTCCGCCCCCGCCAAGAGAGAATTCCTCTGCATTTTGCCCGACAAGCCCGGTGCGCAGGCCAAGCGCCTTGAAGTTCGGCCGTGAGTCTACCTACTACATCCGTTGATTGACAGGACTGGGAGACGGGGAATTCAAGCTTGGCAATGCCAGACTGCGCAGTGTGCTTGCTAGAGCATGCCAGAACTCTTCACTGACCAATGCCGTACCGAACTAGGTCACACCTCGAAGGCGTCAAGCCACTCGTCGCAGCCGGTTCGATCGTCGCAGGTGGTATGTTAGAACCCAATACCCAACACCCCACCCCCAGACTCCCCGACTCCCCATTCAACCTTCGAGCCCGTGCTGATTTGTGTTGTGATTTGGTTTCATAGGCGCCATGCTCAATGCCCACCCCGCCGACGGCGAAACCCCCTCGTTCAAGGGAAGCATGATGATGGCTGTGGCAGAGAACGAGGCGCAGGTTCTCGAGCTGCTTAATAATGATATCTATGTTAAGAGCGGCGTGTGGGATATGGAGAAGGCGCAGATCATTCCGGTATGTTTACTGTAGACTTTCTGGGAGTGGATGGTTTGCTAATTGTGTTGTTCTGGTTTAGTTCAAGTCTGCTGTTCGTGAGGCTCTGTGAGATGTGGGTTCTGTCTGCATTGCTTTGGGAATTGGATACTTGGGTTTCTGTCTGCTTCGGTGATAACGTATAGCATAGCGGGATTAACTTAGAGAGACTCGTTCTATCTGCATACCTCATCGACTAGGCTTCTTTCTATAGACTTGTCTGTCTCTGTTTAGTACGGTGGTCTCCTGGTAGCTTTCACTTTTACTATTTGCGGGCTTTGGGTCAGGATGGCATATCCAGGGACCTTTGTGCAAGCAAATACCCGTGTTTGGAGGTATTCCTTTTATAATACAGGAATCAGGGTATCTCTTATGCTATCTTGTCTTACATCTTTTAGGTAAAGATAGGGTGGCTTGCATTCCGCGGAGATTGATGATAGGACTTTAGTGCATGCATGGGATATGCAGAAACTGAGGCTGTCATATCACTGCTTTGTGGCACCTGATTCACTGTAAGACGACAGCCAACTCAGCATACCGTACAATATTGGAGAACCACTGAGCCACAGCCCAACTTCCTCGGCAGAGGAGAGAACATTAACGTCCTAGATAACTATATCTTAGTAGACTGGGCTGCATGTTTGCAGGCGGTACTACTTGTGGCATTGGACAGAAGCTTGCTGTTTAATGCTTATAATTTGACCAAAGTTACAGCAGCAGCGGGTTATATAGCCCAGTGGAGAGTAGTTCAAAAGAACCCCGCTGAGGGGGAGTTGAGAAGTCCCCAAATGTTGTTGAGTTGGAATTCTCCGAGACCGAACGCCGTGATTCCGATATCTCCGACGAATGTCGAGGGCATTGCTATGTCCATATTGTATACTGCATACTGTATACTGTATACTGTAGTGTACTGAAGACCTGAAGTGTAGTAAGAAGCATGATCGAGAATCTGCGACCGGTAGGATCGCCAGTCCTGTTGAACACCCACTCCACCATTTGATATCATCGACCGACAATTGGCTTGCCGAGAGGCGGGAAACACAACGTTGGCCGGACGAGTCCACCGCGGACAACTTGAGTGGTGCAGCACCCTCGCCACCCCTGAGAACTGATATCACCCAGAAGCTCTCTCACTGGCACAGACCAGACCACCCCGTAAAAACGAGTAATAGCCTCCAACATCTCAGCGCATCAGAACCTCACCCTGGCACAGCCAAAGGGGAAACGTCATCTTTGTCATCTCCGACGACCGGCGAATCCGGCCAGACAAGCTACCCCATTAGGCCTAGCGGGCTTACATAACCCCCGATCAGATTATTTATGAATTCATCACTCCCTATCAGATCCAACTTTTCGCCTCTGAAAACCACTTCATCTCTCTCATCACTTCACCTCTTCCCATCACAATGTTCAAACGTCTCGTCACCATTGCTCCCCGCGTCGGCTCTGTCGCAACCCGCAGCGCCTTCGCCCCCCTCTCCGGCCTCCAGTCCGCCCAACCCATCAACCGTGCAACTCCCGCCCAGGCCGTGCAGCGCCGAGGATACCACGAGAAGGTCCTGGACCACTACAACAACCCCCGCAATGTCGGCTCCATGCAAAAGGGCGACCAGGACGTGGGTACCGGCCTCGTCGGCGCACCCGCCTGTGGCGATGTCATGAAGCTGCAGATCCGCGTGAACAAGGACTCCGGCCGCATCGACGATGTTGTCTTCAAGACTTTCGGCTGTGGAAGTGCCATCGCCTCGTCCAGCTATCTGACCGAGTTGGTTCGCGGTATGACCCTCGATGAGGCCGGCAAGATCAAGAACACCGATGTGGCGAAGGAGCTTTGCCTCCCTCCCGTCAAGCGTATGTCTTCCCTCCCCAACCCAATTCAATCCATCCCTTCGATTCCATCTGTTTTTCTTTTTTGATTCTGACTGGCTTTGTAGTTCATTGCTCTATGCTCGCCGAGGATGCCATCAAGTCTGCTATTGCCAACTACTACACCAAGAACCCCAACACCCGCGTCACAGATCTGTCCGGGACAGGCGGCTCCATTCCTGACGTCAAGGTTGAGATTGAGCAGACTGGTGGCAGCCCCGCTGCTGCTTTCTAAAATGCTTTTAGTTTCCTACTCTTTTTTTGTTTTGCGTGAGCGTGCCGCATGCAGTATTTGCTTGATGCAACACTCGTTTCTTTGAAGTCTGTGACTCATCCCGAGGTTTGTCTCTGCACAATCATTTGATCAAGGATATGCATCGGCTGGTGGATGAAAAGATGCGATTATAATGTTTTTCTTTTCCTTTTTTTGTGCTGGGGTTCGTCGATACCGGTGCCATTGAAAATGCGTGTGCCCGGATCACGATGGATGAGATAAGAACGAACAATTCCCCATTTGTTTGATGTACATATTTTTTTCTTTCTTTTCTTTTCCTCTTTTCTCGCGCTCTCGAGACGGTCTTTTTTTTTTCTTTTTCTGATGGCGCCTCGGCGGATATTTGGGATCCTTGATCGGTACTCTCAACTCCACTTTCTGAAAAGCAGCGCCTTGATAGTTTCCTAATGAAACGATGAAAACAGAAACCTGGGTCTATAATATAGATGGATGTAGATGAGTAGATATGCTTTCTAGTCTAAATGTCTATCTGCACTAACTAACTGTACAAACTGCACCAGGTCTTTTAGCCATCCCTCGAGCATTCTGCTCAAGGAATGAGGTGACCATATGTGGAAAGCGACAATGCAAAACTCCACCGCTGATACACAGACATATCAATTCGATAGTCCGCGATCATGAGAATAACCCAACAAAGAAACCAGGGATATATATAAAAAAACAGAATAAAACACAGCAGAGCCAATCCAAAGCAACTGCACGAAGAAAATAGAGAGCCTAAGCACTCCTGAGCCCAAATCGAGTCTTGAAAGACAACAAAGTCTCATAGACAGACAATTTGATATCAACGCGCAGGTATCCCGCCCAAGCACTCAGATATCTGAAGAAGTTTCGGAACACACCACCAGACACCTCGATAGACTCCATCTGCTCCTCGAACACAGTGCGGGTCGCATAGCGAGCGAGAATCAAGAACGAGCGCATGGGGCCCTGGCGCGTATGCAGGTTTTCGTCAAGACTGCGCGTCAGATCGTTCGTCTTCAGGATGAGCAGGATAATGCGAGGGACCTGGCCGAGCAGGATGACCAGTTGTTGAAGCATGCCTTCGCCCAAAGCGCCGGAGATTTCCTTCTTTTCTTCGACTGTGCGCGAGGAGACGACGCTCTTCTTGGTCAGGACGCTGTAGTCACGGCCGGTGATGGCGCTGGCGAATAAGGGGAATTGGGCGTCGGTCACTCCGGCGACCTTGTGGGCGTATTCGCGCATGCGGGGGACGTCGGCGTCAATGACAGCTAGCCAGAGCTTGGCGTAGTTTCGGCGGAGGTCTTGGTCGATGTCGCGGTATAGTCCATGGTCGTAGAGGATGATGTCGAAGTTGGGATGGCTGCGCGTGAGGTTCGGTCGAATGGCGATGTTGCCGCCGTGCGGATCGCAGTGGAGCGGGGCGTTGTTACCAAAGATCATTTCGTTGAAGACGTGGGCTAGGGCTGCGGAGACTTCGTCGCGGTCGATGTTGTTGGCGTCCAGGTATTCGAGGTCGTCGGGGCGGCTACCGCCAATATATTCCATGACGAGAATGCGCTTTTGAGACCAGATCACTGTATGCTCTTGTTAGCTGGATCATTCTTGATACACTCGAAGAGTTAACGCACCCTCGGGAATAACCAATGGGGCATCCGAGTGCTCCTTGAAATACTCGCTAGCACGTGTAGCATTCTGAGCCTCCATGCGGAAGTCCAGCTCCTGCGGCAGAGAAAAGTCCATCTCCTTGGAGAGCCATTCTAGATCATATTCGGGGAAAAAGCGCTTGAGCGTAGAGAACGTGAAACGGGTCAATGCTAGATCCAAGGGCACCCATTCGTCGAGGGCGGGATGTTGAACCTTGACAGCGACCTTTTGTCCGGTTTCCTTGAGCGTGGCGATGTGCACCTGTGCCAGCGATGCGGCGCCAGTAGGTGTCGGTTCGAAAGAGGCAAATAGTGCGTCCATAGATTGGCCGGTATCAGCGCGGAACAACTCGTCAATTGATTCAATTGACGAAACGGGGCATCTGTCCTGGAGCGGGATGAAAGTCGAGGTCCATTCGAGCGGAAGGAGATAGCCCATGCTGCTGAGATGTTGGCCCAGCTTGATAAAGATCGATCCATTCTTCTCGAGAACTCGGAGGGTACGCTCGGCGCATCGTTTGTGGCATGCGCGAATCAGTTCATCGTGTTCGGCGGGGGACGAGGCTTCTTGTTTCAGGGTAACGCGATAACTGAAGGATGGAGTAAGTTAGTGACACTGCATAGGAACAGAAAGGCCATCCAGCAACTGCACGTACTCATTAATACAAACGGCCAAGGTGCCGGCAACACGCCCGCTTCTTTTAGCAGCTTCATACGCATGCTTCGCATCGGGGGACAAAGTCACAGCCCCGACACCAAGCAAAGATACAATAGCCAAGATAGCAAGCTTGCGCCTGAATCCACCCTTTGTCCCACTCTTCCCTGTACCCACTTCACTTTGTACTTGCGACAAGAGAGGAGAGGTCCGCGTAGAGAAGCCGCGACTAAAAGAACTGGAAGCGGGAATCAAATCTGTGGGGAATCGTGTACGGCCCCATGACGGCGCACCGGTCGCACCAGCCACAGGCGACGATCGAAGCGTCGAGGTCGCGGTCAAACAAGATGAGGAGCCAAAAGTCGAGGCAATTGATGTTTTCCCAATTACCGTGACTTGATCAGACTTGATTGCCCGCCACGGCAAACGAAGCGCTGCGCTCATTCCGTAGCAGAGGCCACGGGCCTAGCAGAAAAAAAAAGAAAAGGGGAAAGGCGGAAATAGAGAGTAAGGGTTTCTGGGTTCACTGCATCGTATGATCTGTTGATGTAGGGAGATTTTCACGGTTCTCGCCGCCAATCGGCTCCAGTGCACGTGATTCTCAACGGAACGACGTCATTGGAACTATAGGAACTATTCAGAGCATTGAG